GTTAAAGCAAAGACAAAACTAAAAATGGCTGGTGAAATATAAGATCAATATATTCAAACCACAAATGAGCGCATCCACACAAGGGAATGTTACGATAATTCGACCCGATTCGAAGGCCATGAGTGGATGAGAGCAGCAATGGAACGTGCTCCGCGCTGCGCCGAGCCGACCCCGTTCTCGTGGGCCGCGCAGTTCAGCTCTGGGCGTGGTCAAGGGGGCCAGTCAGGAAAACCCCGCGCGCGGAGGGCGCTTCTGCCCAGAACAGGCAGGGATTAACCCAATCTACAGCGACACAAATAAAAATGAAAACAACTAACCTTTGCAGGACGTCTCAACCCACTCTACACTTGGATTTTTCTATAGTGGCCGATGACATTGGGTTATTGTTACAACTCCTGCCTTATAAAATTAATGTTTTTAACAGTGGTCAGAACATTTGAGAGGCCACGAATGCCGTTGTGACGGACGTTCGCGAATTAATAAAAAATACTCATTTTATAAGGCAGGAGGTATAATAATGACCTGCCATCGGTCACTATAGAAAAATCGAAGTATAATGAATTTTGAGATGTAGCCCAATTTGGAATCTATACATCACATTGATGATCGTCTCAATACGCTGTGATCATCAATTTAATTTTTGAGTATGCAACCGGCAGAGCCTCTACTGCTGGCGGGAAGAGCGAGAAGGCATATAGATTACGGGGAAAGAAAAGTTTAATTTAACACGATACATATAACCCGTTTCCTTTTCTGTTCTGATGATGATTGTGATAAATACTCTGGCGCTTCAGCTAGTATTACTCTACCCAACAATCGACTGAGATGGTTTACGGCAACAGAAATTGTCTCGGATCGGGAGGCACTAGGGTTCGAGTCCTGACGATGACTGTTCTTCGACAAAAGCTAGGCTCAATTCAGCCGCTGCACTATCTGGAGGAGAATTCTAGAACATCGCAAGCGATCTTTACATCCCCATCTTTATAGTTAATCACATTTTCACAATATGTAAGGTTTAATCTACTTACAGTTCTAACACATATTTCAACTATATAATCTGTACAGTTTTGTGGTATAAGAATTATATTCTTTTGGTACATTCTCATCTTTACCACCTCCTCTCCTCTTACTTCACCATTCTACGATGCATGTCGAGAGAGAAACTGGGGTTAGAGGTTGCCCCCATCCGGGGCGGTGCCTCTCTCGAGCAGATACCTAGAGGAGAGAAACCCTCGTAATCTGACCTGTGGGTTGGCGTCGGATCTCATGTTCCAACGATTGCGGACCACCGCAACTTCCCGGGATAAACATGCATTACATCTAAGGGGTAAAGGCCGAAACAGTTAATCAAGCCGGAAACACAAAGCAAGAACCAACCGACATACACAACACATACTTTGATTCTGTTTGGAAAGCGGAAAGTAGATGTCGCTACGAGGGAGAGCAATGAAGGGAGAAACCCACGTGGTTCAGCCTCGGGGAAGAGTGATCCCTAAATGTCTTTCCAGTCATGTGGGATTCGCAACGCAGAGTAGCCGGATTATGAAGACTTAAATACAAGTACCGGCTTCTCTTTTGGACGTGCAGGACCAGTCGCGACGAAAACGTTATCCTAGCCTAGGGGACGTACACATGCGAGTTGTAAATATGAATGTATGCCAGGATGACAATATCTTCTTATGTACGATATTATGTATGATGTTACCAGTGATTCTATGGACCACAGGCACGCTCAGCCTTAACATGAGGAGGGCTAACAACATTTCTGGGCCTTTCTGTTCTCGGACATATAGTTTCGGCAATAAGATAAGGATAAAGAAGACTTACTCTAAGATGGGACCAGTATGACAAATCAACGCCATGCACGGCGATGACATTGTAAGAGAATAAGAACAAGCCATATTCAAATGAGCTAACAGTAAACAAACGCACTGACAAAATGAGATCATGAATGTAATCTGCAATTATACTGCCAGCAGTGGCCAAGCAGTAGCTGTCAAAGCGGTTCCTTCTTACAGTAATTTCTTTACACCCTAAAGTGTCCATCAGTTGTCATAAGCACTGTAAATTTTAACTTACATCAAGAAGAACTAAACGTCATTTTTATCATTGATTTCCAGCTACCTAACAGGCCATTCTTTGTTTGGGAAGATCGCAGCTGTTTGGGGATCCCTTTCCTACCTTTGGTGCCCGGTCTGCCCGACTGCGTTGAAACCCGCTTCGTAACCGGCGACAAACGAAGCCACAGAGCTGCGAGAGGGGCTGGTTAGAGACTCCTGGATATCACATTACTTTTCACTATTTGAACGACAATCAAAAACAATGCGGAGTTGCCGAAGAATTCTCCAAGATTGATGAAACAAGGAAACATGATCGCAGAGAAGATGACGCTAGTGCATTGGGAATACTGTCGGAAGAGGTATTATATTTCAGTCCACGCAGAACAGAGAGCAAAAACCTTTTTTTAAATTATTTGGGAATACCCACAGCTCTACGTAACACGAAACGGTCAGTGCTTAGCAACGCCCAGAAGGCATCCTTAAAAATACGAGCTAAAACTTGCATTATATTTACATTTTAGCACAGAATGTTTTACAATACAATTTCCTGATACCATACCAGAGTGAAGCGAGAACATGTCTTCACGACTCTCTCTCTGATGTAAAAATAAAATCCGAAAGTAAAGTGAATTGCCAATGTTTTTCGCGATTCTTAAGTTAGTTCTCCGAATACGAATTTTACTCCGGTTTGAATATGACAAGTTGTTTAACCAAAATACTATTGCAAGGATATATTGCGCCAAAGATCGCTCATTCGCAGCCATTACAAGGAACAAGCATTCCTTCCAAAGTCACGTGACGTGGGCCATTGGCACGGGGCTGCGAAAGTTGTCGAGGCCACACACACCCGCTCGCGTCAGCAATTAGGGCGAGCGCTCGTCCGTCTGCCGTTTGACCCCACGTCCTCCGATCACGCGGCCGCGGGGGAGGGGGAGGGCAGAGAGGAACCGAATGTGGGGAACAAGGCGAGGAGCGAGGGCCGGGGCGAGGCGGGGAGGAGCCTAGTGCAACAAGAAGAGGCGGGGATAGGAGAAAGAAGGAGCGGGGAGCGGGGCGGAGAGGGACGTTGTCGGAAAAGGGCGGGCTGAGAAGAGGAGTGAAGCAGGGCGAGGCTGGGATAGGCGGAGCGGGGCAAGGCGATGACTGGGGTCAGGGAAGGAGACGATGACGAGCGGAGTGGAGCGCAGCAAGGTGGGGCGGGGCGAGGGATAGAAGGAACGGAGCGAGGCAAGACGGGGCAAGGAAGTT